GTGAAAATAATGTTGAGCTTATTAAAATATCTTTATGAACTGCTTTCAATCTCTGATGATTTCTAAAGCAGAACCTACTGTTGTCAACAGGTCAGGTTAATTAACCAGGTGCTGTGGGCAGGCCTAGTTCATAATTTTTTCAACTTTCTTTTTCTGTGGGTGACATACCCAATGCCTTCGCTTGGCCAACATGCTTTGGCTCATTCCTTTAATTTTATGCAACAACTGTTCAAAGATAGAAATTTAATTTAAGTGACATTTGATCAAATTTAGGTTATCTACCCGATGGTGTTATAACAAATGTCGTTAAAACACCCCAGGATGAGAAGAAATGAAACCAAACAAAGTTTAAAAATCTTTGTATGTAGATTGATTTCAATATCAGTTCCTCATCTCCATACAAACTCTTATAATTATGCCTCGGTCACCTATGGTACCTCTTAGAGTATACAGCAATCTTAAGGAACAGAAAACACATAGAGCATGCATTTAGTTACAGTGTTGCACATAGATGTCATGCAAATACAAGAGTGAGTTTTTAACAGTTATCAAGCATCAAATCTAGCTAGTGGAAATTACGTCTGTTTGGGAGTTTTGGAACAGTTGTCTGTTCTGTTACTTCTTTCAGTTGGCGTCAACATGTTCATCCAGCTCTATCTTAGCGGCATTGTACATCTCAACCAAAACATCTGCTATTTTGTTTGTCTCAGTTCCCGAAATAGGTACTAACTCATACTTCCCTTTGCATTCAGGAGAATGATCCAGAATATCTTTCAGCTTTCGCATAAAGAGCACCACCTTTAAATCAAGGAAAAAATATTGATCATGATTACAGTCGGAGTAATAATCGTAGAGAGGAAGGAGCAAGCTAGATTCTCTTTCATGCCCCAGGTTTAGTTACTTAATTCTCACATGTGGTTGTCACATAACTTTAAATTTACGATTACGATTGTTACGATTACGCCTACCGTTCGTCCTGACTAATCTGAAACACTCTTCAAAGTGGATACATTTGAAAATGCCAGATTTGCATAATTTATTGTGGATGGAAAACAACTTGATAACATGCTGATGTAATGGTAATCATGATTTCTCAGCGAAAGTCTTTCTCGAACAGAAATTGGTTCTGCTCTTTGTACTGGTACTTAGCTTTCTTGATACTTATTTTGGCAAGATACCCAAGTGTCATTTGCCATCGATTTTGAATCTGTAATCTGCAATTGCTATGCTCAACAGTAATTCCACCTTGTCACCAAACCATGAAACGTGTTTTGTTGTTTTCATCAGATATCTTCACTTGGCCAGATTTTGACATTTTAGGAGCTGTTATTCATACGAGTCTGTTCAAAAATGCTGGAAAGAAGAAGCACAAAGCCAAAATTGTTGCTGGCTCTATTAGGCTCTTATGCACATGCCGAGGGGTGCTTTCAAGCATTTCTTCTGCCAGGGTTCACACTTTGCACATTTAATTCATTGGCTAACCTCTTGAAAGGCTAGGGAAAATAAGTTGTATTTTTAAAATATTTGTACCTCTTGGGGAAGATAATGAATTTTGAACATTATTATGCTTAATTTAATAATATGGAATATTCCCTTTTGGGTAACTGGGTTTGTAATGGGAAAGTCACTTTTAGTTTCATCTATTCCAGGGTTTTCAATAAATTAGCCGGTTACCGGCGGTCTACCGCTGCCTGTAGGACTTCTTACTGCTGTCTGTTTGGATTTCATTAATGAAAATAAAAATAATATTCATAAAAAAAAGCAAATACAACAACAACAACAACCACTGAAATTTTTAAACGCTACAAAAAAGCGGGCAAACTAAACCTTCCAAAGAAATAGCGTACATGTTGTTTGTAGTCGCTGATCAGTCTCACCACTGTTCATCTCAGGATACCTAAGGCATCTGAATGATTTAATAATATGATTTAATTTTTCATTATTTTGTGATTATTGGATACCTTTACAATGAACCGTGGGAGAATCAATGAAAAGTTGAAAATGAGGTTTGGTTTTGTAAGAATATTAGTAGAAAGAATTTTGTTGTTAGGTTTGTCTCATTTCATTTTTTCTGAAGAGTTAAAAATCAGTTTGTTGCCATGTTGGTACATCTGAATGAGCAGCAGAGAAGTTGTACCTGTTTTAAGAAAGAAGTTCAAAGAAATTACTGCTTAAGTGGATATCAAGTGTCACTGAGAGATATCTCCCTAGAAAGGTATTCAAAATGCACCTCTTTGCATCAAAAAATTAATAGGTTGTCAAAAAAAATTTTGCTTCGTGGTCAATAAAAGTACCCATTAACAGCACGCTTTTTGATGCCCAGAATGCTGGAAATCGCATTTCCAAGCTTCTAGATTTCATTTTTTTTGGGGGGGGGAGGGGGGGAAGAACGCCCCCAGACCCCCCTAGGGGAAAGGGGCCTTGCGGCCCCTTTAGTGGCTACAACCGCCTATTACACCTTCATTGGCCGCTTATAACTAATGTTATTGAAACCCCTGTATTCAACTTTATTGTGCATAAATGCATGGGAAACAGCCAATTGGCCAACTGAGAAGTAACTTGTCTGCTCTGACTGCAGGTAAGCAGGGTCTTCTCTCCTGTGTAAGCCCCATAAGTGTATATGTCTGTCCCAGAGGTGGGTTTTGCCAGGCTATTTTAGTCTAAAATTGAGTTATAGATTTTCCAATCTTCATTTGAGACAGGGTCTTTCTTGGAAATTATATATAATAAGGCATTATTCACTTGAGGTGCAATAGGTACATAAAAACAATTTAGATATTGATCAAGCATTCCCTAGGCATTTGACAAGTTGATGTGTCTAGGGGTGGGAGTGTGGGAATTTGATGTCAATGGGTTGTTACTGAGGTAAGGAATTTGACACCATACTTATATGATATATAAAAACAAGCTATACTAGAGAAAGTGTTCAAAGATGCCTTTTTTCTTTTCCACGACTCATTTTTGCCATGTATGTCCTGGGGTACGGGCGGTTGATCCCTGGGGATTTGATCACCCAGAAGACCATTTTAGGCTTTGGGAAACTGGAATTAGACCGACTGTAAATGAACAGAGGTTGACCGATGGGGTATGTGGAACACTTTTGACTTTTTTGTTACCTGATGATCTCGCTCTTGGCGACTCAAGGATGCATGCTCGGACATGTCAAACAGGTTCATCAGAGGGGTGGCATACTCCAAAACAAAGTGATATTCGTCAACACCTCCGTCCGGGCGCGGCATCTCTATCCGGTGTACCGTATGCTTGTATGACCGTGCCTTTATACCACCCCTGTTAATTTTACACTCTGGGAGATTACCGGCATATTTCACCCTGTCATCAGCCTTCTCGATGTCATCATACGTGAAGCAGGTTTTTGGCAACAAAATGAACAGCTTTTTCTTCGTAATCTTATAACGGAATTCATCCGATTGTCCAATCTGTTTTTTAAGTTCTGGAAGCACCAGCTTCAGGTAGCCAAAATAGTATCCCCAAGCCAGTCCATCAGCAAGATTCTTATTTTCTCTTTCATTGATCTCCGATGTTTCCACAGTAGACAGTTCTCGAAGACCGACAAGGAACACCAACTGTGGAACCAAGAAACAGTTTACTGCAAACATTATGGCGTAGTTTGGGTGGGAAAAGACTTTGTAATGTTCGTACAAAGCATAGCACACGAACAAAGCGGAACCAACGGTGACGACTAAGATACTTCGCCCATACTCGAAAGCGAAAGTAGAACTGAAAACGTGCTTCCAGTTTCCTTGATATCTCGTCCCCTTGTGTTGAGCTTCTTCAGTGACCAGGCACACTCTTCGCAAGAGCTCCCCAAAAACTGCACTTAAAGTAAGCAAGGCAGCTGAAAAGACCAGAAAATGAATTCCTTCCTTGCTTTCTCTCTCCCTCATCGAGAACACAAGCACAACTCCAGACATAATGAGGACCACTATTGAAACGATCACCGCCGCTCTTCCACGGGGCTTAAAAAGTGGGCCAAATCCATTGTTTTCTTGTTGAGCCACGTTAGCGTCAGGAGGCTGGTCAGCCATGATAAAGCGTGATGAGCTAAGTCTTCGACCTGACTTGTCCGTGGTAGTTCTCTAGAAATGAGCAAATCAGCACCAGCAATGGATTTTGATTTCTCAGAACAGGCGACGTACTAATAAAGTGTGGCGGGGTACTGAAGGGGAAAACCCCGAATTGCTAATACAGTTCATCTGATTGGTCAGATCAGAAGCTACCTCATCGATTCATGCGTGAGCAGCAATTTTCAGTTTCGAATGGAATTCCCCTGAGCAGATTATAGCATGAGCGAAGCTCGGAAAATGGCCTAAATCCATTATTTTCTTGTTGAACCACGGTTCTTTCAGCAGCTATTGTATAGAAATTATTACTATCTCTTAAGAATGTATCTGTGTTACGAAAAGAGCGAATTTGCGTCTCCCTGCAGTTGTATTTCTAGCTTCTCCAATTCGAAACGGCGAGGCTGACAGGGGAATCCCCTACTAAATTAGACACAGTTTGCAAGCTACATTATTTATTTATGCCATACGGTACGAAAAATGCTCGAACAGCATTTTTCAGTTTGATCGTAGCTTCCTACGTAAAAGCGCTTCAGGCTCGTCACGCACGAACATTTAGGCGACAAACCTGATGGAGGTCACCTCCCTCAGACGAGTGGCTTTCGATCGAAACTGCATGCGATGGACAAGCAAATTGTTAGAAGTAGAAGGCGCTTGAGTAATAATGGAACGATTGCTTTTTCTTGTTTTTTGTCCTTCTTTTCATTACGGTTAGATAGTCTTGTCACGTTAAAATTTTCATAGATACCCGGCAGCCGGGAAGTGTTTAAAAAAAGAAACTAGATGCCCGGCAGTCTGAAACCCTCTGGGAGTACTCGATATTTGTTCAGAAATGCCAAGTGATTCTAAATAATGTTTTGGTACTCCGTGGACGAATTCTCCCAGTCATGCTATAAAAACCTTGACTCACTGACACAGTTTTTCAAAGAACTAGCTACCCGGCAATCAAAAATTCATAGATAATTTCCGCAAAAAATTAGTTATTATTTGAAACCTCCCGAGAGAATTTGAGTAT